TAATTATATTCAATTTTATCGATGCAAAAATTTCTGTATGGCATTATGAATGTAATTTTCATAGAATTGTGTATTAAAATATTAAAACCATGTTAATGCAATCAATTATTAAATTTTAGCGAATTGTCAATTTTTTTTTAATAAATACGCCATAAATAGTAATGCTGGAAATCATTCATGACTTATCTCCAGGGTCAACGGTATCTCAGATTTTTAAATAAAACAAATAATATAAATAACGATAAAATATGCATAAAAACAATTATTTATACAACTTTTAATCCAGTTTATCACAAAGTTGCTTTTAAAGTGTCACAAAAAAGATAGACGGGTGGGAGACTAGTACTGAGTAGTTAAGATCTATCATCGTGGTATAATAATTCTTTAACCTCGTCTAAGTTCACTTAACAGTCTCATCTTCGTTACTCTATACCCGGTTCGCTTCCTCCAAGTAATGTAGATAGATGTAGAATATAGAGTGTATAAAATAAATAAAATAAATCTACGTGTATGAAGCTATATGTATAGGTATATTATACATTTATAGCTTTATACACTATCATTCTTTCTTACATTACTTCATGCATTAACAACGCGCGCCCGCAAAAGTCAAACGAGCTTAGGCGCCGCACAGTAATCTGTCTTGTGGCATGTGATAAATCAATCCTCTTTGCGGACGTGCGAGACACGATCAACGCACGCACGCACACATTACACTCCCGTGTGTAACGCCTGGCTTGATAGTTGTATTTGTATTGAGTCGAGCAGCGAGCCGAGTACTGCACCTAGGTTCTACCATACCGAGTTGAGTCTGGTATACAGTATGTGGTGTACCAGTAAAGATCTAGTACCAGTTCTCTGTCACCTTAACTACCCGTTTGCTCTTGACTTATTGACTCGCCACTTTACTACAATTTTACACTCTTAATTTATCCAATGGTCTTTAGCTTTACAGATTACCTTTGCTAATAAGTGACCTCTATCCAATGTAATTATAATCATAAGTATTATTCATCTCTCTTTCAAGTCATGCTTACTAATTTCACGATTTTTGTATTCTCAGTGAAGTTATTCATTATGCTGACACTGAAATTAGCAGACCTGATCAATTTTTAATGTTACTAGAATTTTTAATACCGCGCTTTAATTTTAATAAATTATATGAATCGTGTTCCATTTTTTGCGAGTTTTGACTAATGACTCACTTCAAGACTTTCAATTATTTCTATTTAGAGAATTAAGGTAGTGAGTATCACTAATATCACGAGTGTCAAACTTTCCATACGAAGCCTTATTTGGATTTACCTTAGTTGATTTTTCTATGCAAAATTACATTAAAGAAAGAGAGACAGAGATAAATTTTCAAAATTTTTTGTTAATCAGTATAAGACCTTATTCCCCCAATCTTTACTTTTGATTGTAAAAAATTTTTAATATGTTATTTCCTTTTGATTTCTCAATTTTTATTAAAATCTGAACGGTACTTTTTGTAAAATAAAATAAAAATTGTCATTTTTTATAAGACTCAAGGTTTAATCTTAAAATTATTCCACTGTTCTCTTAAGCTTTTTAACAATTTTGTGGGCTTATTGTCTTAAGACAATTACGATAATTTACTTATATGTTAAATTTCATTAAATTCTGAACCTTAAATCTGTAATTGAGAGCACTACTATAATTCATAAAGTTGAAAATTGGAAATTTATTATTATCAATTATTATTGAAATAATTTTTATCTGATACTATAGCTGTTACTCGCCCGCTCCGCTGGGCGCTCTATAGAATTGCATTTTTAGATCTAGACTTGAAATTTAATTAGAGTATTATTTTGACTTACACAGACTCCAAATTCTGTCGAATTTTATTACCTTTATCCATGTAATTATTCTAGCTAATATTCGTTCGAACTTTCAATGTGCAATCATTATACCATTCCCGTGTCTTTCTTACAAAAATGAATAATAATTGATATGAAAAACAAATATTTGTAATGAGCATTGAAAGTTTCAGTTAAAGAAATTGCAGGTCTCATAAGTGAAGATATCTGGCTAGTATATAAACATAACCAATAGAATTAAAAAATTTATTTTAAAAAAATAACAATCGAATAGAATAAATTTAGTAACAATAAAAATTCATTATTTCTAAGTCAAAAAAATATAGGTTCCGGATAAGTAATCACCACCATATCATATAGTAAAATCTTCTCCGAAACACGCTGTATCTTATGGTATAAGTATTATTCCGATCGGCTCAGTAGTTTTCGCAGTATAACTGAACCAAAAAACCGGCTCTATTATATGTAGATCATTATATCACGTATATATGGAAATAGAAAAATTTTTTTAGATTTCTATCAAATATAACAGTTAGATTTATATAAAATCTGCCAAAAAATGACTTTAATAATAATCTATATTTTTAACTTCCCGCTAAGAAAATTGAAAATTTTCAAAAATCGGGAAGTTATTGTTTTCACCCCGTTTTTCGAAAATCGAGTTTTCATCAGATCTCGACGTTTTGAGGTCCTAGGAAGCTTTCCTGACTATTTCCGTGGTGACGTCACCGTGTCTGCATGTGTGTGTGTGTGTGTGTGTTATGTATGTAAATCTCTCACAACTTTTGAACGGATCATCCGATTCGATCGAAATAGGCGGCGTTCTGAAGAGTTCCTTTGCCCCTAGAATTCTGATAATAATTTAGAGAATTTGAGTCGATCAATTTTGAGAAATCTCAAAAATAAAATTTCCAAAAATTCGTTTTTTTGAAATATCTTTTAAATGGCTGAACCGATCAATTCCAAAATCCAATCAGCTCTTAACCTCAAAAAACCACGTCGATTGCCATCAGCCCGGTCAAAATCGGTTGATTTGTTCGTGAGATATCGTTGTCGAAAAAAATTGAAAAAAATGTTTTTTTGAGAATTTCTATGAAATTTTTAGTCTGACCAGTTTACGCTTCAAGATTTTTCAAAGAACTTAAAAAACTGCGTTGAATGCCGTAAACCGCGAGAAAATCGGTTAATTCATTCAAAAGTTATTGCGGTTTGAAAATTCAAAAAATTGTGTTCTATAAAACTTCATAAGCCTTTTGAGCTCGAAGGGCTCAAAAGCACAGAACAGCGATTCAATTGAGCTCGGAGAGCTTAAAATTACACAAAAATTATATTTTTGAGCTCGAAGAGCTTAAAAAATAAGTGAATTGTTGAACACTTAGGAATGGAGGTAGCGGGAAGTTGCAGGGATGGCCTTTAGGGTCAACCGTTTTCCTAATTTTTTTCTCAACTTATCATCTTTCCAAGCTATTAATATTTTTTTATGGCTTGATGGTAAATTTTTAGATTTTTTCAATGATTCTCTCATTTCTATTAAACTGAATCAATTTTTCGCTCTAATACTTCGCAAAATTGCACTTATAGTTTTTTAAAATTTCTACACGCGGAATTTTAGCAGTCGTAGTTTATTTCAGAACCAGCATCTCGTAGCAAAAATACGCTGTTGACACCGATAAATCAGCGTTTATCGCATTCCACTATCGGCATTAATCACTGTAATGATTCTGGCATTGGCCCACCAGAGACAAGGATCCAAATAGTGCCTGAAGCCACTTGGTCTTGGTGGCAAGTCTGACAACCTCGTGACCATGAGTGTATGTATCAGCAATGATAAATATTTCAGATTTCTTCATCCCCATCTTCCTTCCAACCTTCATTATATACGTTTTAAAATCTACATACAATCCACATATGTAAACGAAACCATCAATAGTCAATCCAATCATCACTATGTAACGCGATGTTGTGATGAAGGCCGAACAGAATATCCTCATACCGCCACCTAGCGACAGCGTCGATGAAACACTACTAGCAACTGTTTTACAAGGATTTAAGGCATCAATTTATGACACTAGTTTCTATTTTTAGGTAATTTTTTAGTTCGATTGTTTGTTTACATCAAAATTGATTAAAAATTCAATTAAATCAAATCAGACACCTTAAAAATTTTTAATTAAAAAGTGTAAATTGTGATATAAGGTTATTAGAATGCTCGGATCGTGTGCTCGTATTTACACTTGACTTTTCTCTTCCTCATTCTCTTTGCCTATTTAAAGTTAGCTTGAGAATAGATATAAGTATGTTTGGATAAAAATATGTAACTATAACATGCGCCCTGCAACTGACAACGATACTACGTATCTATAAGCGAACCTTACAAGGCGTGGGCTAATGTATTCAATTTGATTAAACAAATACGGTTATACTCATATGGAAAATAGTCTAACCGTACGTAAATATACTTATATATGTGTATTTATATAATTGTAAGAGTAAACTCAGAGCACAATAACCTCTGGATTTAGTTGTTAGAGTGCATGTTCATTTGAATAGTCTCTTATTTACTTAATTCTTTTTTCACGAATTTTTTATCGACTAAATAAACACCATAGACGTAATTCGTACTGCAGAATTTTTTATTGTAAACTTATTTTAAAAGAATATTTTTTTTTTTTTATAAAAATAACATCAATTTGAAGTTAATTTAATTTTATTTCATTCCAGTCTATTTTAATTATATTATTTTTAAAATTGATTAATTTTTCAAATCATAGATCAGTTATTTTTCGCTTTATAAAAAAATTATTCTATAAATATTTTTATAATGGTGATCATAATTATTTTAAATTATAATTCATCAACTTAGAACGCATCTTTGAATTATATTATTCAGACAATGTAGAAAGTGTTAGAGTATGATGACGCATTCTCATACGAGTAAATGTAATTCACTTTTACTCACATGCATTATAAAACTGAGATATATAATCTATAATCGAATGTTAAGTTTTAACGACAAAATGATGAACAAATTTTAAAGTAGTAATTTTGTATGCTTATTAATTAATGACTTAATTGTCACTATTAAAAGAAATATTATTAACCAACCAGAAGTTGATTGTGAGTACACGAACAATTCAAGTTCAAAATATCCGTTAATTAATCATGAGTTCTGCCGAAGGTTATGTAATGTCAGAAAATGTGTTCCATAATATTTTCAAGTACGTAGATTTAATAACAATTGCAAAATTACGAAAAGTGAGCTCCAGTTGGAGAAACTTCATCGAAAACGAGTTCAGATTATGGCAAAAATTCGTTTGTACAAGCGATGTAATAAAACCATGGAGATACCAATTGATCCAAGCAAAGTACCCGTCAATACCTTGTAGTGATTACGATAACTTGAGCAATGAACAATATAAAGAAGTGTTTGTTTCATACATCAACTGGCGGAGAGTTAATAATTATACTCACTCTCAAGTTGCTTTTCAAAATAATGAATTTTTCGGTAACTCCAATAATGCAATCACTCTTATTGATACGTGGGGTGAGACATTTTGCGCTATGATTCTTTATTGTTAATTCACATACTGATTTGATTAAGATTATCTTATGTAATGTTGCAGCGAATTACATTGCGTTTTTCGGTGGAAACGAAAATTCCGTGGTATTATTTGATATCAATACTGGTGAATCGTTGATGAATCTTGTACAGTTTAATTCTGAATCATTTCCTTCCGAAAACAGCGATGAAATTTCCCAGAATGTTCAATTTAGTATAAGGCGGCTTAGAATTTTTAAACCTGGTATGTATGAATTCAGTATTATAATTCGAAAAATCTACAGGAAAAAGGGGGGGGGGAGGAGCTAAAATGGGATACTTAAGGAAATATTGAGTACGGAGACCCAAGTACAGTAGATCTTTTGTGTTTTATTTAATTAAAAGAAAATAGAATAAATTTTCAGCTGGCGTTAAATACAGACTTTTTTAATGAAAAAAAATCTATTAGCAGAAAAATAAAAACAAGATTTAAGATTTAATTATAAATAAATAAAATATTAATAAAATTGTTTTCTCAATATATTATAGAACTGCACAGTAAATAATTATTTTTATTTTATCGAAGTTTAATATACAGTTTAAGAAAAAATTGAAAATATAGTTTTGAAATTATTCTCGTTTATCAGCAAGAAAAAGACACCAATAGGTTATGGGTTATGGCTTTTGGTTTTTTTCTCACGCACTAGTGCTGCCTCTTTTTACAGACTATCGCTCACTAACTTCCACTCACGTAAAATATCGAAAGTCACTAACTTCAAACATTTATTATAAAAAAATGAATACCGCTCATTTATGTTATTTTTCGTAAAATATACTTGCTATATTTTCAATTAATGATTCTCAGTGTTTTAAAACAATCTTAAGAAAAGTACGATTGATATTTAATAAAACGTTTGCTTGAACGTCGGTCAGCATAGGTTCTGTATGAAAAATATACAAAGTTTAAATGCTAATATTTCAAAATTTAGTGCCGCAAGGACTATTTAAAAAAATTTCTGCGTATAGAAGATATTTATAAGTATAGCTACTCAAAATTTCAAAAAAAATTTTAAGAAAACGGTTTTTTCACGGAACGTCCTTAAGGCATGAACACTTGAATTAACCAAACTTTTGTTCGTTAATACATCGCGTTACTAAAACCATAAGGGCGTATAAAAAAAATTTTTTTGCTCCAATCAATGTAAAAATGTTGAAAACATTAACATCTATGGAAAAAAACGAAGAAAAAATTTTTTTTTGTGATACGCCCTTATGGTTTTAAGAAAACATTTTTCTAAAACCATAAGGGCGTATCCTGTTTTTTCGGTTTATTATCAATTATAAATAATAAACCGAAAAAAGAGTCAGAGTAAGAAAAAACATTGCAAAGGTAATAGAAATTATCATTCCACAATTTAATTTATACCAACAAATATTTATTTGAATGAAAAAACGAATGAAAAATTAAGAAATAATAAATTCATAACAACTTGAGAACAATCGATATGTCTTCAAATTAATAAAATTAGCCTCAAAGTTTTTCTAAATTGATTTTTTCTTTACTTCAGATCTATTTACAATTAACAAAAGAGTTTTGTAAGCCATTGAGAACTGTAATTTTGAAAGAGTTATTCAAAAAGAAATTTGTTCTTGAGAATTGTTATGATTCTTCAATACCAATATCTTGAAGCAAGTTTGATGACCTAAACCATTTTTGTACATCAGATACTGTCCCACAGAATATTATCGGTATTATCGAAGTTTAATTTTCAGACATGGTCATAGTTTATAAATTTTTTTGTCATTATCTAGTTATGTTAAAAAAAAAAATTGAAAAATCTTTTTTTTTATTTTTATAATCTTAGACACAGATGATCCTGACGATAGAGATGGCATTGGACTAATAACCTGATGAATTTATTTTTGCATAATTTTTAATTGTTTTTTTGCTTAAATAAATATTTTTTAACATAAATTAAGTTGTGGAGTGATGATTTCTATTACCATTGCAATTTTTTTTCTTACTCTGATCTATAATTGATAATAAACCGAAAAAACAGAATACACCCTTATGATTTTAGAAAAATGTTTTTTTAAAACCATAAGGGCGTATCACAAAAAAAAATTTTTTCTTCGTTTTTTCCATAGAGGTTAATGTTTTCAACATTTTTACATTGATTGGAGCAAAAAAAAATTTTTTATACGCCATTATGGTTCTGCAGAAGGACGTATATTTTGGGATACGCCCTTATGGTTTTAGTAACGCGACATTTACATTGATAATTTTATCTTATTTTAGCAACCGATAGGTTAACTTTCTGCATAGAAACTGACTCAGCAGTATTTTTCTGGGATGTTAATCAAAAAATACCTATACCAACTCCTGAAATACTGCGGGAAAATCCAAGAAAACGGCCTATTGATATAAGGTACAAATTGAAGTTTTTTTTCATTACATAACATTTTCGTTCATGATTAATTTTTTATTATATATTTTGTTTCAAGCCGAGGTTTCAATAGCGATTTATATGTAACTTTATATAGTCTTCATAGAATTGATATTGTAAGATGTAAATTTGATATTAACTCGCAAAGTATTGTTGCGCAAAAGATAATTATCGTTAACCCACCGGGAAATTTGAATTATCCTGTTTTCAAAGATATTTTCTTCCAGAAAACAACAGTAAATAACATTGAATTTTCCTTAATTTTTATAATAGGATTGATTAAATATTTCTTTAAAAAATAAAAAAATTTATTTTTCAGATTTTAATGATATACAGATATATCAAATCATCATACCTTATGCAAGTTAACATTCCAGAAAATTTGGAGGATCCTATCGAAATAAATGGGAATGACAAAAAGTATATTAAAACGCTTTTCAATAGTCTAGATCGACCTGATTTTTTGTACGGGATATCTATCACGAATTTTGATACCGTACTGGCTTACTATCCTACAGGTTAGATATTTTTCCACAAAATTATTAGAGGAGTATTTAATTTTGAGCGCATGCACGCTATTTTAATTATTTATATTTGAAAAACTTAATTAATATTTCAAATCAAGAAACAAAAGCTTAAATTTGCTATAAAGACTTTGTAAGAAAACATTTCGAGTATAATTTTTGAAAAATAAAATTGTAAAAAAACTTTATCACAAAATCTTGGTTTCAATTTCTGTAAATTAACATTCTTCTCTTAAAGTGTTGGCATTAATTTTTTAAATAACCTCTTTTTAGAAACTTTATCAGAAACTTTATGTCGCATATAAAAATTATTCGATAGTAAAATAATTAAATTAACAAAATCAACTATTTTACTTTAAAGAATCACGACTGGATATTTCATTAAAGATCAAATCATCTGGTACAAATCATTACAATTTTACCGAAAAATCATATGTTTTGCCATCAGAATTTGGAAAAATTATCGACTTATTCTTTTACATGAATAATTTATACTTATTAACCGAGAAAGGTAATTATAATTGTGATTCCATGTCCTATCGACTGAATAATTAATGACTAATATTGTCTTGTTGCTTTTTATTTTTTAAGATCTGCTCATAATTTATAAGCTGAAAAATATAAAACACTTAATCCATCTCCAATTCAACAATCTGCAACCAAAAGTGATCAATGTATCTGGCTTAAGAATGCTAAATGCTTTGTTAGCCACTGAAAGTAATAACAAACCTTTTATTATTGTCTCGGAGTACGGAAAAACAAAATTACAAGCCTTACATGTTAATTAATTATTGCTATAATTAATTAAAAATATGGAGTAACTATCGTATGAAATTTACAAAAGAATCATGAATAAAAATTCATATTTTTGAAAAAAAAAAAATACAGTTCTAAAAATTTCAGGATCTTAAAATCAGTACAAGGTATTATATAAAAAAAATTAAGCCAAAATTTTAATGTCGATCGTCAAAACGAATTTGACAATTTTGAAAAATTCAAAATTTGACATTTTTCAAAATTTTTTTTTTCAATAGTCCTAAGTGTCCTCTTTCAAACAAACAAAAGGCCATTCCCAAATCTATAATAGCATTCGAGATATTACACAGTAGAAAATTTTGCGTCAAAAAACTGAGTGTTAAAAAATTTTATGTTAAATATTTAACACTTTTTTGTGTTGATTTAAGATTTATTGTGTTAAATCAGCACCAACAAGTGTTAAATATTGAACATAAAAATTTTTAACACAAAATCTTTTGACGCAATGACGCAAAATTTTTTACTGTGTACAAAAACAAAATTGAAAAACTGGAAAAATCGCGAAATTTTGAATTTGCATATCTTTTGAAAAAAATTTTTTTATTTTTTTTCCTTTGGCAGAACTTCGTTATGTGATAAAAGAAAACTTCTGACCAAAATTTATCCTAATCGAAAGGGGTGGATTTCAACTATTGGTCGATTTGACATAGAATGACCCTTATGCATAAAGTCTCTTAAAACATAAAAATTTTTTTTGCATGCCTCATAGCGCGAAGCGCGTGAGGTTGTGCTTTATACTCGACTCGTCAAGGTCAAGTAATTTTGTGATCTTTAAATGCCTCTATCACAACCATATTACACTTATACAATGATATAAGTAAATGTACACCGAAAAAACACTTAAATTAAACCATCTTTTACTTTCTAAAATCATTTCATGTTGCTATTTTGAAAAAAAAAACGTTTTGAAAAAAATTTTACGTGGACGTCCGGATGTCACCCCATTTTGGATGTACCAACGATTACTCCCGAACAAATTGATATTTCAAGACCGGATCTTTTTTATTAGTTTAAGAATTCGATGAACTGGGTCAGTATTTCATATCAGTAGCCTAGCTTACGTATTTTTTTTTAAATTGAATTTTTATTAAAATTCACTACGATACAACCGTACAAAGACAAACGAATTTTTCTTATATGTCACGTGAAAACTATGGCGCCACTTGATCAAGCTAGACTTTTTTAGACTGCGAGCCCATATGACAAGAAAAAAGGGCGCCGATATTAAAAAAAAAAA